AATTACCTGAGTCAAGTGATCAATTATAACAGAGCAAAACTTTAATTACCAATATATATATATATTTTGGGTGTTAGAAAATTATAAGATAAATGAAGGCAATATTTCCTCTTAATGTTCATGACATTTGTTCACTTGTTGACGACGGTGAACAATGTGGTTGAGTTATTATGCTCGCTTGTTGCTGTAGTTAGCTTGTCGTCTGTCTGTCTGTTTTCGGTCTCTCCCCATCTCTCTTTCCCTGTGTGTGTGTGTGTGTGTGTGTGTGTGTGTGTGTGTGTGTGTGTGTGTGTGTGTGTGTGTGTGTGTGTAGGCGTCTGATGAACCAAGTTTTAAAAGACATAATTTAACTTGATCACGCTGGAGCCACGAAATAGTGAGGCAAAACTCCATTAAGTTAGGTTAGGTTAGGTTGGGTTAGGTTGGGCTAGGTTAGGTTGGGCTGGTGGGTTGCTTAATATCAAGGTGAAATAAATTGAAGGGGAGCTAATCTTCAGGTGATCCGCCATAACAGAAGTGGGGGTTAAGTCCCATAATTACGTCTCGTCAGTGTATAGGTCGTGTCCAGGATATAACCCGGATACATCGCTCATAAATCACGACACAATGGTTCTAAGACTTGGCTATTGAGAGACGATTTAGTTCAGGGTTGTGTTACCTTTCTTGAACGATTGATTCTTAATGATAATGTGAACTGTATGTGACTGTTTGTGTGGAGTGTATGGCTGTTTAGTGCATAGACTCTGGTGTATGACTGTTTAGTGTATTGTGTATGACTTAGGTGTATAGTGTTTGACTTTAGTGTACAGTGATAGGGGGTTAAATGGTGATGTTAGGTGAGACAGGGGTAGTGGCGTGTGTCCAGGATCTAGTGGCATGACAGAGGTTAAGTGGCGATCAATACAGGAGGCAGTAAGAGGCAGAGGAGAAAATGACAAGAGGGTAAGTGGCGCGAGGCAGATAATTGAGAGTAAGTTAGGAGTACACGGAGGTTAGTGCCACTACCCTTCCTTACCCCCCCCCCTTCCCTCCTACCATCCCCCCTTCCCTTCTACCCTCCCCCCCTTCCCTCACCTCCCTCCCCTTCCTCCTCTTCACCCCCTCTCATCCTTCTCCCTCACACTTCCTCCCACATCTCCATCACCTCCCAACCTCCTCCCACCCACATCCATCACCCTGGCAACATCCACCTCCCCACACATCCCCCCCACACCTCCCTGAAACATCTACCTCCCCCCTCCCCCCCCCTCCCCCCCACACTACAGCCACAAGTGAGACGCAGCTGCTCGAGGTTCCCACGTTGCTGCTCCGCCCCCCAGATAGTGCTTACATCAGTGGCTCACACACACACACACACACACACCAGCGACGACTACAGATCTTGCATTCGTTATTCTACTTGGCAACATACACAAGCTGAATCTTGCGACGAACCTAACCTAACCTACAAGACCTCCTTACAAGGGGCTACATCCTCCTGTGTGAGTCTAGTAGCCCCCCTGAGGCCTACATAACCTCACTACAAGGGGCAACAACTTCCTGTGATAATCCTTCCTCACCGTCACGTGTTGTTGTCCATCATCCAACAGTTTTCCTCTCAAGTTTAATTGTCTTTGGGTGGTGAGTGTCATGTCTCCCTCCTTGTCTGTTTGTACCAGTGTCATTCATTCATTCATGATTTTGTTCCAAGTCTACGGCCTCCTTGTGTCTTTGTACCATTGCAACAACAGGTGTGAGACAATAGGTGTGAGACAACAGGTGTGAGACGAACGCTACAGGTGTCTTAGTTCACGTGTCTTACCTGGGATTACTAAATAGGTACTTCCCTGTGAACTGATCTTATGATAGTACCTTGTGAACGACTAGGTACACACACACGTACGTTCATGTCCCCAACTTACATACAGATGAATACTAAAAGCCCTACATGAATATGCATATCCTTGACTTACACATACACACACATACACACAGTGTATACACTTACGCAGTATACCCTCAGCGCCTCACTACACACTAACTCACTCTACACAATAAGTTCAGCCGCCACTTACAACACTTTTCACCACACAAATCTGCCTGAGCTACTTATAAAACATTAACTGGTGATTAAACACACCTCCTACCTCGTCATCCACTTGAGGGTAACACACACACACACACACACACACACACACACACACACACACACACACACACAGATTAAAATAAAATAATCCAAACCTCAATATCAACTGTACTGCAGTTCTGCTTTACTGTGTGTGTGTGTGTGTGTCATATATATATATATAATATATGTCTTCAACTAATGACAATGTGTGTGTTAAAAATAAATACTGAACGATACATTGTGGTCATGACACCTCAAACTCTGGATCTACCTCTATCATGACAACTCTTATGACATAATATTAAGTCATGATCCATCTGCTGAACCACACAGGATTATCTTGACTTAGGGAACCTCACGAGAAGTTGTGACTGATCTACTACAAGAACTTCCATCAACCTGTCTCTTAGTAGAACCTCATCACTGACTCACCTACAGTACACCTGATCACCAAGACGCTTACCTGAGGGGAGAGAAGTACAGAATTATTACATGTTGAATAATAATAATAATAATAATAATAATAATAATAATAATAATGTGGACCTCTGGGCTCAACATCACCTCAGGCACCCGTCAGTTGGTCCCCCAGTGCCACACTTGACACCTTCTGGAAGCTGTTACTGCCTTCCTCACCTCCCCCCGACCCCCACCCCACCACACACAGACACACACACACTCCCGTTCTGGGTTGTGGAAGGGGAGGGGCATGAGGAGTTAAGGGGAGGGGCAGGAGAGAGGTTATGAGGACCCAGGAGGAGCTCGTCCGTGATGAACCCCGGGACCAGACACACCGTACTCAGCCTCCCTGGGATGATATGAGAGAGAGAGGACAGCCCATTGTCCCGACCAATCACCTCAATGCAGTCATCTCCAATACCAAAAATAAAGTCCCTGGCTACTCGGGCATCACCAAGGAGATCCTCAGCCACATAAACAACCCGGCCATGGAGAGACTGAGAACCACAATGAACGCTTGCCTGGCCTCAGGTTATTTCCCAACTGAATTCAAAGAGGCCACTATTAACCTCACACCACAACAAGGAAAGAACCCCGCCGTCCCACTAAACTATAGACCGATCTCCCTCGAAGTATCTGGAAAAATCCAAGAAAAAATCACCAATAACCGTCTGAGAAATCACCTGGAAACAACCAACAGAATCAATTGCAGACAATTTGGGTTCAGGAAAGGGAAGTCCACCTCAACAGCGATAGCCCTGGCATGTGAAAACATAGCCTGAGCCACAGCGAGTGGTAGCCAATGTAATCTAACTCTCCGGGATATATAAGCTCCTCCAACTCGGACTTCCCGCCAACATCGAAAAGCTGATTTAAAACTTTCTTGACGGCAGAAATGCTAGACTGGGGGTGGGACAACACACAGGAAAGACCTTCCCACTCATGAGCGGAGTCCCTCAGGGCAGTGTCCTCTCTCCCACCCTATATATCATCTACACAAGTGACACCCCGTCTCCCACTAGAATAGGAAACGAAGATATTATGTATGCAGAGGACATCACTCAAATAACAACACATCAAGGAAAATCACGAGCGCTACAGGTCGACAACACCAGATAGAAAGGGTAAATAATTACGAAAAAATGGAAAATCCAAACCAGTCTCCCGAAATTCACAGTGATACCCTTATGCAGAAGGAAAACCCATCCATTAGTAACCAATAATGCCCAGATAGAATACAAAAGCAGAGGCACCCTCCTGGGCCTGCATATATCCACGACAAGTTACTCCCATCATGTCCACACCAGGAAGGAAAAGGCAAGAAGAGAGCTGAGAAAACTATACCGCTTTAACGCGCTTCCTGAGAAAATAAAACTCCGCCTGGTGACATCACTTATCATACCGATATTAACTTACCCAGCAGTACCGCTTCATACTATGAGCACCACTCAATTATTAAAATTACAGGTGGGTCCAAAATGAAGCCCTGAGATTCGTCACAGGTGAAAGATTCCTCTTAACCAGAACCACAGCCGAGATACATAGAGACCTGAGAATAAAACCCATCAACCAGCAGCTGCACACCCCTTCAAAGACAACGACAACAACCATACATGGTTTCCAAAAAGTTGCCAAATCTCAAAAGGTCCATTACACCCCCGATCTATACAGCCAGGCAATAGACAACCTCCCTAGACCAGCATCCGCCAGTAGGGTCAGCGGAATATGAAATAAGGCCCTCAAAACACCCATATATGGGATAGGGTAGGATGTCTAGTGCCTGTACCGACAGACAACTAACCCATGACACAACCCTAACACACTATTAGCTAACCCACGGTAAGGCGGTCAGCCCACTTTCTCCTAAATTTCTTCAATTTCCTCACTATAACTTCCTTCCTCCACCCCTCTCTTCTTTCACCACCACCTTACTCTACAAAATATGAGGAAGGAAAAAGGGAGGGCAAGGAAAGTAAAGGGGGAGCGAGGGAGGGAAGATAGACAGTGAGCACAACACAGTATAATGGTCCTAACACCTCTAGAGGAAGTGTATGTGGTTACTTTGCCTCGCCGACTCTCTCTCTCTCTTCTTCCTCAGTGTCAGGGTGGGAGGCAGGAAGTGTCCCCCAGGTCACTTATCACCGGGGTGTCCAGAAAGTGTTATGTTCCGGCCACACTTTACAACAGGCGACCATCACACTTACTTCCTACCACGTGCTCACACACACACACACACGGCAGCACCAGTGTTTGTTGTGGTTGTGACGTCAGTGTCATGTCCCTCCGCCACCATATCTCACAGAGGAGCCAGAGAGCTGTACAACACGTGCTGCTGCTTCCTCAGTCTTTGTTTGTTCTGGTGGTGGTGGTTTACTGGTGCTACTTCTACCACTGGTGCTACTTCTACCACTAGTTATACTTCTACCACTAGTTATACTTCTACCACTGGTGCTACTTCTACCACTGGTGCTACTTCTACCACTAGTTATACTTCTACTACTGGTGCTACTTCTACTACTGGTGCTACTTCTACTACTGGTGCTACTTCTACTACTGGTGCTACTTCTACTACTGGTGCTACTTCTACTACTGGTGCTACTTCTACTACTGGTGCTACTTCTGCCACTAGTTATGCTACTACTGCACAGACGCTGCTACTAGTCTACTACTGGTGA